TCCAAACCAAGAGCAGCCAATGAGTGTAGAGCAACTTGCAGTACGTCACCGCTGCGACAAACTGTCATGGCAACGACCATAATGCAGAATTCAAGGCTTCAAAACGGTATTCCACAAAGTAATGGGTGACATCACTATAGGTTTACTAAGATCTACAACGGACTAGGTATAGCCTTGTTTTTATCTTAGACATTGTGGCTCCTACCGGCTGTTTAAGAGGAGTGAGGAGTCAGCAGTCTGTAGAAAACAAGATGAAAAAACTGGGTCTTCAAGGCTTTTTCAACATTGTGAATCACCGCAACCACAAGAGGTCCTTGAGCATACAGTAATAAATGAGCATGAGGCTGATTGATGCAGCAGTATGCGAGATTAGCTGTTGACACATACATACATGGACACATGGACACACGACCAGACTCATGGTGAATAAATTTGGAACATGTTGATGAAAAGCTACTTGAGTTCATGTGATGTTGCTGAGGGAGAACATCAGGTAGGGAACCAGTGTTAAAAACCTGACTCTGACTGTCCCCCCTTTATATATCCCACACTGAGGGACCCTGTTGATACACTGAGTGTGTTTTTTTTTTTCTCTGTGGGCCCCAGACGGTGAGTTTCCCAGCATGCAGCAGTGTTTGTGTTGCATCCACATTCCTCCAGCGTTGTGTAAACCAGGTTATCAGTCAGGCGTGGCTATCTACAGCAGGAATGTGGCTATCGCTCTATCTGCTGTCACGAGTTTGTCCTAAAAGTCTGCGCTCGCACCATCCTCCCTCCATCAGTCCTCCATTTATCCTCCAGCATCGCTCTGTCTGACTCTGTTCTGTACTCATCTGAACTTCGACCACCCTCCATCCACCCTCCATCAACCCACAACTCCATCAGTCCTCCATTCTCCATCTGCAAACCCACTAACATCCATTAATCCTCCATCCATCCCTCAATCATCCCATCCTTTTGGGACACCATGCTGCCACCGATTGGCTGAAAAGACAGCGGAGCATCTGATTGGCCGACTGTTCACAGACAGACTGAACCTAACGACCTCAAGAGGATGGAGAGACTGAAGAGAAATGTTTCATCTGTTCATCCGGGATCATTTCACCATAATCTGACCTCCATCATCCCTCCATCACAGCAAGAGTCTTTACATCAATCTCTTGTGTTTCAATAGTTGAACCAATAAAAATCAGAGGGCCTCCCACCTGAACCCGGTGATTCAAAGACACTTTGAGAGTATTTTTCTCTTAAATGGTTCTTCAGAAGACTCAATGTTTCTACAAAGAGCCATCAACAACTGACGAACCTCTTCACTTACAGGATGGTTGTTCTACATACTTATGTACTTCTTTAGTACTAAAGTTTCTTCATCCTTATTGGACCTATTTGGTGATACGTAAGCTTAATTAAGGCTACGACTAATGATCACAGATTAATCTGCAACTTATTTTCTCAATTAGACCTAATCAACAGATTTTTTGGTCTATACAGTGAAAAATGCTATTCACAATTTGAATTTCAACCTGTCTGACCAACAGCCCAGAACCCACAATATTAACTGTATTATATCAAGCCAGGGTCAATGGTGGGAACTGTTGGGTCTCTGTAAATAATGTTATAAGGAGTTCGGTCTATCTATTTGAAAAGTGTCCTGAG